CTATCTGCCCGCTCCTCTGCAAGTATTCTGTGTAGAACCTTTGGGCTCACAGGGTAGAGGATCACTATGCCGCTGCTCCCTAGAACTGGTGGCCTGCATGGCAAACCGTTGGAGGACCTTACTTTCATTGAGTTCCAGAAATGTATGTGTGAAGAGTGGTTCCAATCAGACACTCATTTCCGTCACTACATGATCCAACGGCGAGTTTTAGACGAAGATGGACAGAATGTTAGCTTGACTCTCAGATCCATTGCGGTGTTCCTTCGCACTGGCATTATATTGGGAATGCACAAGTGCGTCGAATGCAGCGGGCCAACACGGCTGGAATGTTCCAGCTCTGACAGCGGTGTCAGATATCGCTGGACATGTAGAACAAGTGGGCACAAGCACATGAACCAGTCCGTCAACTCGTGTGGCGTTCTTAGCAAGGTCAACATCAACAACTGGATGCCCTTCTTGCACATCGTGAACATGCTGCGCCTGGGGTTGCCATGGGTTCGCATCACCGATGAAATGCGGGCTGGGTATGGCAATGTGAAGGACGACACTATGTTGGGATGGCGTCGATTATATCAAGGAAGCCTGGGGAAGGCCCTCGTGAACATGGATCAGATGAAGATTGGAGGCGCCAACCACACAGTCGTCATCGATGAGTGTTTGGTTGGGACCCATCCGGAGGATGGGTGGTCCTTGAGCAACCGCGGCATCAACAAAAACGTCGCTCATGAACAAGAACGGACTGATGGACGACATGAAGCTACTTCTATGAAGGTTGCCAAGGGTAGCATGAAGGTATTCCCGGCTCGCACTATCAAGAAAGGTGAACGCAAAGCGTTGGGGTCATTCGCTTTGATTAAACGCCCTGCAGCATCCATGAAGCGTCCGTCGGCATCTACTTCCATGAAGCGTCCAGCATCCTCTACTTCCATGAAGCGTCCAGCATCCTCTACTTCCATGAAACGTCCTTCGGCATCGGGCTGCCTCAAACGGCCTTCCGCTCATCGTCGTCCTCTTCGTGTTCTGAAAAAACCGGCTGCTAACCTGAAGCTAAACGGCAAGTGGTTGTGGCTTGCCGTGTGTGTAGGTCGCGGAAATCAAGTCTTTACGCATGAGAACGGTCTAAAGAAGATCACATACAGACTTCTACCGCGTGCTTCCAAAGCTGTGAATAACAAGCCCCGCGGTTTGTATGAAATTCGTGACACGCTTCACAGCCGGATATACAAAAAGAGTATACTGGTCTTTGATGGCTGGACAGCTACTACACAAGCGGCTGATCAGCTAGGGTATGCCCATCCGCCATCTGTGAAGCACCATAAGTGCTTCAGGGATTCGGATACTGGCTTTCATACGAATGACGCTGAGTCAGAGAACAATCGCTTGAAGCGATGGTCTCGTCAGCGGCACGGTCGTCTGCATATCGAAGAGTCTGATATGCAAGAGTACATGTTCTATGTCAATGTAGGAGGCTCCATGATGTCGGTGCTAGAAGGTTTAGCACAGTCGAGTGAAAGTGGCAAATGCAGAAATCGCATTGTCACGCTTTGAAGCACTAAGGCAATCTCTGCAGTGAGAATGGGGTAGAAAAGACACACGACTAGAGTGCTCCAAGTCCAGCTCCGACAGCGGTGTCAGATATTGATGGATTTGTCGAACATGTGGACCTAAGCACATGAACCATTCCGTCAACTCGTGTGGATTTCTCAGCACATATGTAACGGAACACGTTGAACACTTTCCTGATATCCAAGGTGCCTATATTGTCGACATTGCCATCGAGCTGCTCCAGCATAATACTATATTCGATAATGTATACCTGATTATGAATTAGTTGACTGGTTATCACCTAGTCGGCTGGTTATAACCTAATCGGCTGGTTATAACCTAGTCTGATGGTTATAGCTCAGTCAGATGATGTAGCGAAAAACGTAGGGGACCCCAAATAGGGGTGCGCCCATATATATATATATATATATATATATATTATGTATGTATATGTCATACTTCGGAACAGAGCACAGCATGGCCCCGCAAACCTGGAGCCGCTGCAGCGCCGCCTCCCAGGCTGCGTCCGCACCTCGCGGACTCACCGAAGATACGCCTCAGAGTCTGAACGGTTTATTTCGGGTTTAGGGTTTAGGGTTTAGGGCTTAGGGTGGTAAATTTCGCGGCCCAGGGTTCGGGCAGTTGAGCTCAACATCGATTGGCCTTAACTTTTGGAATAGGGGTTGAAACTGTAGTCTACTGCTGGATGTAGGGCTTGGGGGCCGATGAGCCTTAACTCTTGAAGTAGCGGTTTCGTGGCCGAACGCCTACCGATCCTACTGCCCTGAGGTCCGAAAGCACATGGGGAAACGCACACACCAAACCAAACCTAAACCAAACCTAAACCTACCAACAAGTACGATAGCTGTCGCCGCGACTTGCTCTTCTTCTTTTCGAAATTTGCGACAAAGCCAGAAACTGTGGTCCAAATGGGCCGTCGGCTCAACCCCCACCCCAAACTGCCCCAAACTCCCCAAACCCCCAGGCCCCAAAACCCAAGCCCCCAAACTCCAAACCCCAAACCACAAACCCCAAACCCCCAAATCACCAAACCTCAAACCCCAAACCCCCAAACCCCAAACCCCCAGCCCCACCATTGGGGGCAGTGAAAAAACAATTGACTGTAGTTCCAGGCCGGGAAGAAAAGTTAAGGTCAGTGAAACCAGTTAAGTTCAACACCGGTGTTGAACTCAACGGTCGCTCACTTTCGGGCCGTTTTTTTTGCTACCTTTTCAGTGTGCGCGACCACTGGAAGCTGTGATTTTGATTTGTTATTTGGTGATTTCACAGGGTTAGAAGGTCAAAACGCATGCGTGTGGATACTTGATCCACTGAAACACCCAAACAAAAAGTCAAAATCACAGCTTCCAGTGGTCGCGCACCCTGAAAAGGTAGCAAAAAAAACGGCCCGAAAGTGAGCGACCGTTGAGTTCAACACCGGTGTTGAACTTAACTGGTTTCACTGACCTTAACTTTTCTTCCCGGCCTGGAACTACCGTCAATTGTTTTTTCACTGCCCCCAATGGTGGGGCTGGGGGTTTGGGGTTTGGGGGTTTGGGGTTTGAGGCTTGGTGATTTGGGGGTTTGGGGTTCGTGGTTTGGGGTTTGGAGTTTGGGGGCTTGGGTTTTGGGGCCTGGGGGTTTGGGGAGTTTGGGGCAGTTTGGGGTGGGGGTTGAGCCGACGGCCCATTTGGACCACAGTTTCTGGCTTTGTCGCAAATTTCGAAAAGAAGAAGAGCAAGTCGCGGCGACAGCTATCGTACTTGTTGGTAGGTTTAGGTTTGGTTTAGGTCTGGTTTGGTGTGTGTGTGTGTGTGTGTGTGTGTTTCCCCATATGCTTTCGGACCTCAGGGCAGTAGGATCGGTAGGCGTTCGGCCACGAAACCGCTACTTCAAGAGTTAAGGCTCATCGGCCCCCAAACCCTACATCCACCCTATTCCAAAAGTTACGGCCAATCGGTGTTGAGCTTAACTGCCCGAACCCTGGGCCGCGAAATTTACCAGCTTAGGGTTTAGGGTTTAGGGATGGTTTAGGGTTTAGGGTTTTGTCTGAACGGCTTCTTCTTCGTTTGACCCTCGTGTTTTTTCACCAGAAGGCATCCAGACTACCGTACCGGCTGAGGGAGTCTGAACGGTTTAGGGTCTAGGGCTTAGACTGCGAAAACGGGCCTCACAAAAACCCTAACTGGCCTCGAATATACCCTAAATACCCACAACATACCCACAACATACCCTAAATACCCACAACGTACCCTAAATGCCCTCGAATATACTGCAAGTGCCTACTATCCCCTTGCATGATGCCAAGATTTTTTGGGCTAAGTGCCGGCGAAATCGGGCCTGGACCACGCGTCTTGCTCTAAGTCCCGTGCATTACTCGTCGAACGCCGACCTCGAAAGACATCGCGGCACCCGGTGAGCGGTGTTGAGGGATCGGGTTTAGGGTTTTTCGGGTTTGGGGTTGAGGGGTTTAGGCATGGCTAAAGGGAAAGGGTGCTTCTGAAGGTTTAGGGCGAAGCTAGGCTGGGCTGGGCAAGGCTTGCTGATCTGAGAATTCAAGGGCTCTTGTGGCGAGCCTTCGGGCACAGGAGGGGCTCTTGAATCCATGGGTTTCGGACCTTCCCCCTCAGTGGTGACCAGGTTTAGGGTGCTTTATGGAGAGCGGCCGATTTGCAACGGCTCCGAACCTCGGCGAAAGACGGGTTGACACGGATGTTCACACTCTAGCAGGTCCCTACCCAAACAGCCCCCTTCAATGGGACTTGGACTTTTTGGGTAATTGAATACCAACAGCATGCCCTAAACCCTAAATACCCGTTAAACCCCTAAGCCCCTTCAACTCCAAAACCCTAAACCCTGAAACTTGAAACTCCGGATCCTCCGAACCCGGAACTACTCCCTACTTGAATACCAAACTCTAAACCCTCTCTCTCTCCCAGGCATTCGAAACTCTAAACCCTAAAACCCTAAACCCTGAACCCTAAACCCTAAACCCTAAACCCCAAAACCCTAAACCCTAAACCCTAAAACCCTAAACCCTAAACCTACTTCAGACCATGGGGCCGGCCGATATTTGCCGATGCCCATGCGATGAAAGGGGCACAGCTGAGAGTTCGGAAACTCTTGGAGGGCGTGTTTTTCGCCATGTTTTTCACCGAGGATGCTCTGAGAGCATGTGGAGTCGAGTCTTAGAGTCCTCGCTGGAAGCTGGAACACAGGCCATGAACCCTTGGGGGTTCTAGTGCACTTCTTCGTCCAGGATCCCTTCCTCCACGTTTCCATTTCATCGAGTGCAGCCGAAGGCTTCTGCCCCTTTTCCTAAACCCTGAACCCTAAACCCTAGTGCTCTGCTAGGAATTTTCATGGCTCAAGGGCTCCAGGCCGCGGGCCCTAGGGGTCTCGGTCCTCCCCTGAGTGGGGAAGCTGTAAGGATCAGAGATCGCCGAGGGTGGCACCGACATAGGCTGATCGGTCCTGGCTGCACGGGAGATGCCGGAAACTTTGCGAAAATGATCAGCATGCATCCAAGCGATCAAGAAGACCCGGAAGCACTCACGTCAATTGCATCCTGCATGCATCCGAATCCAGTCACCCTAGTCCAACACCCTCATCTCTTCCCCACCTGCCAGAATCTTCACGACGCCAACAACTCTATGCTTGAAAACCTTAACCCGACCCTTAACCCTCTTCCAAAATGCCCCAACGGGCCTCGGGAACCCTCGGCTTCGCCGCCCGGCAAGTCTGGCAGCTCTGCCTCAAACCGAAGCCGCCAGGGTCCGTGCTTTCGGATCATCAAGCGAGGTGCGGGGTTTCTCAGATGTCCCTACGATCGACTTACCTTCAACCTGCGCACATGAGGGCTTCAACTGGGACGGTCAAACACAATGCAAGGATGAACCAGTGGTCCGTGATCCGGGCAGGCTTGTCCATCCGACACTCCCCCCTTGAAAGACTTTCAAAGGGAGCTGTAGCGCTGCCCGCCTGTCTAGCCAACAATTCGGGCGCAGGCTCTGGGCCGAGAACACTTCTGCAACTGCTAACTGCTCACTCTAATTCGGCACCCATCGCAAGCAGGCAGATTCGCCTTCTCTGCAGTCAGCGCCACTTGCAATTCTGCAAACAGGGACGGGCTTGATCTTCTGCAGTTTGTGCGAATACTGTTGAAGAATGCTTCTCTTAGACTCTTTTAGCTCTAATGCCAGCTACTGGCTCTTGCCGCTGCAGGAAGACTCTCTGCATGTCCGGGCTACTGCAGGGAAATGGTCTGGACAAGGCTCAATCGGGATACGGATACAGCGAAACCCCGATTTCATGGTTTCCCCTTCTGCGCAAGGCCAGCCCCACGTCCTTGCATTGAAGCTCATGCTCTACGCGGTAGGCGTCAATCTTCACATCTTCGCAGCCTCCGCCCATCACATAGATGTTCCAAGGGTGTTCTTCAAACACAGAAGCAGTCGGCCTCCAGTTGCCCTGCGCAATGCGCATCCGGACCCTTTTATTCAGCCACCAGTACTCCCCCTGCTTGAACTTGAAGGTCATGATGCCTTCTAGGGCGAAGTTCAATTTCTCAAACGTCTTCTTTTTTTTTTGGAGGCTCAGGAATTCGTCTTTGGAGCTGGTACCCGCATGGAAATCTGTGGCAACCATCTCGGATGAGTGTCTACCACAAAGAACCTTTACCCTGTTGGGTTTGTCACTCTCGTCGTCGATGACACAGCGCTCTTCCATTGGTTGGCCCGGAGTGATGCTCCACCAAATTGGATGGAACTTGACCCCGTCCAAGGTTGCACCTTTGAACCCAAGGAAGTCCAAGTGGTTGTCCCGTACTGCGACGTCTGACACATTCCACCTTTCCACTTTCTTGTCCTTGTCTGGGATGCAAAGTCCGTCCGTGGTGTACTGAATTCTTCCACTGGTGGACTTGCGAGGGGATTGAACGGACAGAAGGGAGTCACAGTCATCCTCCGCAGCTTCTGGAACAGCCAGGAGAACCATCAGGGCCCATGCGTACTTTAACGCGGATGGGCAAGGCATTTTTGCCTGCAAATCGAGGTGAACCCGCTTGTAAACCTTGAGCCTACTAGCTAGTCCCAGCACATCCCAGCTCCTTGTGCACTCCATGACCCATGCACAGCCCCGCAATTGCCTCCTGCAGGCACGTCGCTTCACAGCTACACTGACTCGTCTTTGCTTCACATCTGTGATCTTCGCACACTTCATGCTACATAACACACAATCATAACAATTCATCTCTGTGTCCCTTGCCACATCTTCAAGCCAACTCTCCTCGCCACGGGCCTCTTCGTGGACCTCCGTCTTCTGCCATGAGCCATCCCGTGCAAGCACCTCGCCTCACCAGGTTTAGGCAAAATCAAATACCCAGCAACACTATTCAGGCCCTGCCGAGATAATAAGGCAGGAGGAAACTCAGTCACTGTTTTACTCTGGAGGCCTGAACTCTGCGCCACAGCGAGCCTGAGCCTCTCCAGAGGCGGCGCTGGCGGCTTTGGCCTCCCAGCTTGCGGGGCTTCCGCTCGCTACTTCGCTTCTTCTTCTGCAAATTTATGGCCTTGCCTTGGCACAGCGCTTCTCTCTCGAATCGAGCTTTCAGCGCCTCGCGTTCCACATGCCCCGAGCACAGTTGACGTCCAACAGAACCAGGAGAAGGCAGTCGACTCCAGATTCTTCGTGTTGCAAAGCTGCCTCCATGGCAGCCCGCCCCTCCAAGTCCACCTGTTCGCGGCTTCTCTGCTTTTCTCTGAATCTACTGCGCATTCCTCAATCAATATATATATATATATATACGTACATACATACAACAATCTCATATACATATAAGTCTCTCTCTATATGTATATATGTATATACACACATAACACACACATATCTATATATATATATATATATATATATATATATATGGGTACCCCCCTATATGGGGTCCCCTGGGTTTTTGCACACCACACCCAACACATTAAACCATTAAACCATTAAACCAATCCTTTGGGCCCATACCACTAAACCATTAAACCATTAAATCATTAAACCATTAAACCAATCCCTTTGCCCCATACCACTAAACCATTAAACCATTAAACCATTAAACCATTAAACCAATCATTTCCCCCTATAGAGAGAGACACAACCCTGTATGGGCCGAAAGCATTGGTTTAATGGTTTAATGGTTTAATGGTTTAATGGTTTAATGGTTTAGTGGTTTAGTGGTTTAGTGGTACGGTGGCATGGAGCCAAAGGACTGGTTTAATGGTTTAATGGATTAGTGGTTTAGTGGTACGGTGGCATGGAGCCAAAGGATTGGTTTAATGGTTTAATGGTTTATTGGTTTAGTGGTATAGTGGCATGGAGCCAAAGGATTGGTTTAATGGTTTAATGGTTTAGCGGTTTGGGTACATTGGGGGGGAATGACTGGGTTAATGGTTTAATGGTTTATTGGTTTGCCCTGCAAGGTATGGTCCTCAGCGCCTATGTGGCGAGACTCCGGCATAGACTCTACTTTTATTTATTTCCTAAATTATATGAACCCTTGATTCTTATGTTGTTTTCCCTTGGTTTATTACTATTGTTATGCTATTTTGCGCCTCGCCTGCATTATGACGACGACGACGGCACGGTTATAACTGTAGGCTTCGGTTATAACCGACAGGCTTTCTGAACATCTTCGCATTCATATTGCAATGTTTACGAGATCAAGCTAGAAAGTCCCTGTTTATGTAGTGTTTGAGCAGCATGAAGCGAGCTGCTCATGTAGCTGGTCTCATGGAGATTAGTGGCAATGGCAAGTGCATTCTAGAACTGCGACAGATAGCCCCGTCCACGGTGAGTGAGTCTAATGGTGCAGCATCTTCCAACGAAATGCAGGTGCCAGACTCTGCAAAGCTTCTTAGTGATGTACAAAATGGAGTAGTGCCAGTCCATATTACCAAAGCCAGCGTCACGAAGAAGGATATCCAGCAGTATATCAACTACCTTCAGCGTGATGCGGGAATACTTCGAGGAACCAACGGAGCGTGGAATAATGCACTCCAACAACGACTATATGCATGGCTACTCAAGGAAAAGAAGGGCGCAAAGACCAAAGCGATTATGGACAAACGCCCTGACGTGGACGACAAGCAGAAGGACGTTGTGGACAAGAAGCACAGCCATAAGGATAAGGACGTGGACATCTACATCGCGGACAACGACAACAACAACGGCAATCAGAAGAACAAGGACGTGGACAAGGACACCGTGCACAAGAAGCAGGAGGACAAGGACGTGGACAAGGACATCGTGGACAAGAACCAGGAGGACAAGGACATCGTGGACCCGAGCCAGGCGAACAAAGACGTGGACAAACACAACGCGGACGAGAACCAGAACGGCAACCACAACCAGAACCAGGAGGATGATGATTCGGATTCTTCTTCATCTTCGAGCTCCAGTGATTCGAACCGCCCGCTTCCCGTAGTTGACACCTCCAGCTGGAATTCCGATTGGCACGATACGTGGGAGCATGTTCTTACCCTGTCCAACCAGGTTGATTCTGGACGCAAGCGTCGTCTCTTGATTTCAATGCTCCGTACCATCGCCCAATGCCATACACAATGGCACGAGGAGCGTTAATCGCCATGCAGTCGTTCTGTCTTCCCGCGAGCCAGCTTGAAAAAGTTTGACTTTGCATTGGTTGCACTCTTGAGCCGCCTTGATTGCCAAACACATGGTTATCATCCTACATTGCTCATTGATGATGGTGTGGCTCCAAGCAGTTCGTATAAGCATGTGTTGTCACACATTCATCGAGCTTAACACAAGATAACAGCCAACAGACAAGGTTATAACCCACACGTCTGGTTATATCCGCCGTCTTGCACACAAACTTGTCTTTAGTCAAACCTCCTCGTCGCGCCAATGGACTCCTCTCTCGCATACAAGCGTGCCCTGCAGGAGATGACAGTCTACGACTTTACCCAAGTCGATGTTCCATTGATATCGCGGCAAGATGATGCCATGGGTTGCCTGCAGGATTTGCCTTTGAAAGATATGGAAGGCCGTTACCTCGCCAAGATGGTCATTGACTTGGTTCCGGATATGGTATGGGAGTCTGTGAATTTCCAACAGTTGGAAGAATGCATGATGCAAAAGCAGTACAATGAGCTCCCTCCTCCATTTGGCCCCAAGGTGCTTATCTCAATGCCGTACAAATTGCAGATTGCCATCGTGAAGACGAGCCTCACACACTGCACCGTAATCAAGTACTACTCCTTCGACCAGAAAGTCAATATACGACTGGTTGAAGACATGGCCTATGGCACTTTGAAGTTGTTAGACTTCACTCCCAACTTCCGTGCCGGACCTTTGGCTATACAGCTCATGCTCAAGCAAATGTCGCACTGGTTTGCCCACTACATTCAAGTGGTACCAAAACCTGCCAAGGAGTCAAAGCCCAAGCAGAACACAGACGACCTGCAGAGTGGCTTTGCCTACATCAAGGCCAACGGTCCCAGAAGCAACATTGGTAATCAACAAATTGAATGGGCTGAAATTGAAACCCGGCGGACCGACAGTCCACTTCACGGATGGTCAGCTGGATTGGTTAAGGAATGCCTGCGAGGGCATGCGAGTGGGATCGTGTATGCGAAGACCATGAACGACTTCTATCTGACTCTGCACGACCTGGCCGCCTGGTTCTTAGACGACGTTGTTGTTGAACTTCTTGGAGATCTCAAGTCAAAGACCATTGTTTTCCTCGGCTTGGCTGAGAAAGGGAAGACACCGGCAGCGCAAGCTATCGCCATGGCAGTCAGTGAGTACTACATTCTGCGAGACAACAAGGACGATGGCATTCAGCCGGGTTTCCGTATATGCTCTTCTCTTGATCACTTGCGAGGAGAATCGGGCGAGAAGTATCGTCCAGACATCCTTGATGACCAAGACATCAACATGGTACCAACCCCTAAGTTGAAGAGTTTCCTCGACAGCTCTCTCGCAGAATGCCACACAGTTGAGAGATGGACAGCTGCAAGGTTTGTACAGAATCAGTTACGCATACTTTGCGACAACAAGATCAATGAGAATGCGGAGCCTCCAGAAAGCAGCGGCCTCACCACAGACTTCGACATCTTCTACGACATGATCAAGCCAGCATTTCACGACAAAGCGAACCTCCAGGACATCATGGCGTGTTTAAAGCGTGCTCACTTTGTTGTCAACATGAACCATGCCATCTTCATACGGAAGGCCGGAACGACCAAGGACCCGGTCATGCGTGTGCCTTATGTGGATGGGATGCGGGATTTTCTTAGTGAAGATGGAAAGTCTGTGATTCGCTACATGCAAGACGGCAACAAATGCCCCCCGACAAACTGGGTGCAGAAGCGACAATGGTCGCACGATCTTATGACTTTGATCATAGAGACACAGAAGCAACCTCCCCGGACGAAAACAATTATCTCGTCAGCTACCTTCGCTGGTGGTTCTAGAACGCGCAAGGAGATCAAGCCTTCACTTCCATTCTCTGGCCGTGTTTGTCCCGCTTTCATTGCTCAGGATCAGGCACATTCCTCAGAGAACATGGTAAAGCCCATATCATCGGAGGCGCCGGGTACATCTTCAGATTCCAAGTCTTTGCAGTCAGAGGTCCCATCTTCCAAGGCGTCGGTCGCCCCGACAGAAATCAAGGAAGAGCTGGACGACGACAAGAATCGCTTTCACATGATGCTCTCCAACCCGGACTTTAACACTGTCATCGACTTGGATCCTACTCCAACATCGCCACCTCCAGCCAAGCGGCCACGCTCTACGACAACGGATGAGGTTGATCATGATGACAACGAAATGGATGTCGCAGACGACGATATTCTTCCTCGTGTCGGTGTGAATCCGGAAGATTGACGGGCAAGAGAGAAGGACATGTGAGGTTCAAGCAAGTTCAGCTTTCTCTTGTGGACATATCCATTAGAGATTTTGATGATAGCTGTGCAGTAGACCCGCACGCATCCAGCTACACAGTCACCAAACAAAAGCAAGACAGTGCGAATGCAACTGTGACGATGATACTGGTGTTGACAGAATCATGAGTCATATTTCCCTATCTGCCCGCTCCTCTGCAAGTATTCTGTGTAGAACCTTTGGGCTCACAGGGTAGAGGATCACTATGCCGCTGCTCCCTAGAACTGGTGGCCTGCATGGCAAACCGTTGGAGGACATTACTTTCATTGAGTTCCAGAAATGTATGTGTGAAGAGTGGTTCCAATCAGACACTCATTTCCGTCACTACATGATCCAACGGCGAGTTTTAGACGAAGATGGACAGAATGTTAGCTTGACTCTCAGATCCATTGCGGTGTTCCTTCGCACTGGCATTATATTGGGAATGCACAAGTGCGTCGAATGCAGCGGGCCAACACGGCTGGAATGTTCCAGCTCTGACAGCGGTGTCAGATATCGCTGGACATGTAGAACAAGTGGGCACAAGCACATGAACCAGTCCGTCAACTCGTGTGGCGTTCTTAGCAAGGTCAACATCAACAACTGGATGCCCTTCTTGCACATCGTGAACATGCTGCGCCTGGGGTTGCCATGGGTTCGCATCACCGATGAAATGCGGGCTGGGTATGGCAATGTGAAGGACGACACTATGTTGGGATGGCGTCGATTATATCAAGGAAGCCTGGGGAAGGCCCTCGTGAACATGGATCAGATGAAGATTGGAGGCGCCAACCACACAGTCGTCATCGATGAGTGTTTGGTTGGGACCCATCCGGAGGATGGGTGGTCCTTGAGCAACCGCGGCATCAACAAAAACGTCGCTCATGAACAAGAACGGACTGATGGACGACATGAAGCTACTTCTATGAAGGTTGCCAAGGGTAGCATGAAGGTATTCCCGGCTCGCACTATCAAGAAAGGTGAACGCAAAGCGTTGGGGTCATTCGCTTTGATTAAACGCCCTGCAGCATCCATGAAGCGTCCGTCGGCATCTACTTCCATGAAGCGTCCAGCATCCTCTACTTCCATGAAGCGTCCAGCATCCTCTACTTCCATGAAACGTCCTTCGGCATCGGGCTGCCTCAAACGGCCTTCCGCTCATCGTCGTCCTCTTCGTGTTCTGAAAAAACCGGCTGCTAACCTGAAGCTAAACGGCAAGTGGTTGTGGCTTGCCGTGTGTGTAGGTCGCGGAAATCAAGTCTTTACGCATGAGAACGGTCTAAAGAAGATCACATACAGACTTCTACCGCGTGCTTCCAAAGCTGTGAATAACAAGCCCCGCGGTTTGTATGAAATTCGTGACACGCTTCACAGCCGGATATACAAAAAGAGTATACTGGTCTTTGATGGCTGGACAGCTACTACACAAGCGGCTGATCAGCTAGGGTATGCCCATCCGCCATCTGTGAAGCACCATAAGTGCTTCAGGGATTCGGATACTGGCTTTCATACGAATGACGCTGAGTCAGAGAACAATCGCTTGAAGCGATGGTCTCGTCAGCGGCACGGTCGTCTGCATATCGAAGAGCCTGATATGCAAGAGTACATGTTCTATGTCAATGTAGGAGGCTCCATGATGTCGGTGCTAGAAGGTTTAGCACAGTCGAGTGAAAGTGGCAAATGCAGAAATCGCATTGTCACGCTTTGAAGCACTAAGGCAATCTCTGCAGTGAGAATGGGGTAGAAAAGACACACGACTAGAGTGCTCCAAGTCCAGCTCCGACAGCGGTGTCAGATATTGATGGATTTGTCGAACATGTGGACCTAAGCACATGAACCATTCCGTCAACTCGTGTGGATTTCTCAGCACATATGTAACGGAACACGTTGAACACTTTCCTGATATCCAAGGTGCCTATATTGTCGACATTGCCATCGAGCTGCTCCAGCATAATACTATATTCGATAATGTATACCTGATTATGAATTAGTTGACTGGTTATCACCTAGTCGGCTGGTTATAACCTAATCGGCTGGTTATAACCTAGTCTGATGGTTATAGCTCAGTCAGATGATGTAGCGAAAAACGTAGGGGACCCCAAATAGGGGTGCGCCCATATATATATATATATATATATATATATTATGTATGTATATGTCATACTTCGGAACAGAGCACAGCATGGCCCCGCAAACCTGGAGCCGCTGCAGCGCCGCCTCCCAGGCTGCGTCCGCACCTCGCGGACTCACCGAAGATACGCCTCAGAGTCTGAACGGTTTATTTCGGGTTTAGGGTTTAGGGTTTAGGGCTTAGGGTGGTAAATTTCGCGGCCCAGGGTTCGGGCAGTTGAGCTCAACATCGATTGGCCTTAACTTTTGGAATAGGGGTTGAAACTGTAGTCTACTGCTGGATGTAGGGCTTGGGGGCCGATGAGCCTTAACTCTTGAAGTAGCGGTTTCGTGGCCGAACGCCTACCGATCCTACTGCCCTGAGGTCCGAAAGCACATGGGGAAACGCACACACCAAACCAAACCTAAACCAAACCTAAACCTACCAACAAGTACGATAGCTGTCGCCGCGACTTGCTCTTCTTCTTTTCGAAATTTGCGACAAAGCCAGAAACTGTGGTCCAAATGGGCCGTCGGCTCAACCCCCACCCCAAACTGCCCCAAACTCCCCAAACCCCCAGGCCCCAAAACCCAAGCCCCCAAACTCCAAACCCCAAACCACAAACCCCAAACCCCCAAATCACCAAACCTCAAACCCCAAACCCCCAAACCCCAAACCCCCAGCCCCACCATTGGGGGCAGTGAAAAAACAATTGACTGTAGTTCCAGGCCGGGAAGAAAAGTTAAGGTCAGTGAAACCAGTTAAGTTCAACACCGGTGTTGAACTCAACGGTCGCTCACTTTCGGGCCGTTTTTTTTGCTACCTTTTCAGTGTGCGCGACCACTGGAAGCTGTGATTTTGATTTGTTATTTGGTGATTTCACAGGGTTAGAAGGTCAAAACGCATGCGTGTGGATACTTGATCCACTGAAACACCCAAACAAAAAGTCAAAATCACAGCTTCCAGTGGTCGCGCACCCTGAAAAGGTAGCAAAAAAAACGGCCCGAAAGTGAGCGACCGTTGAGTTCAACACCGGTGTTGAACTTAACTGGTTTCACTGACCTTAACTTTTCTTCCCGGCCTGGAACTACCGTCAATTGTTTTTTCACTGCCCCCAATGGTGGGGCTGGGGGTTTGGGGTTTGGGGGTTTGGGGTTTGAGGCTTGGTGATTTGGGGGTTTGGGGTTCGTGGTTTGGGGTTTGGAGTTTGGGGGCTTGGGTTTTGGGGCCTGGGGGTTTGGGGAGTTTGGGGCAGTTTGGGGTGGGGGTTGAGCCGACGGCCCATTTGGACCACAGTTTCTGGCTTTGTCGCAAATTTCGAAAAGAAGAAGAGCAAGTCGCGGCGACAGCTATCGTACTTGTTGGTAGGTTTAGGTTTGGTTTAGGTCTGGTTTGGTGTGTGTGTGTGTGTGTGTTTCCCCATATGCTTTCGGACCTCAGGGCAGTAGGATCGGTAGGCGTTCGGCCACGAAACCGCTACTTCAAGAGTTAAGGCTCATCGGCCCCCAAACCCTACATCCACCCTATTCCAAAAGTTACGGCCAATCGGTGTTGAGCTTAACTGCCCGAACCCTGGGCCGCGAAATTTACCAGCTTAGGGTTTAGGGTTTAGGGATGGTTTAGGGTTTAGGGTTTTGTCTGAACGGCTTCTTCTTCGTTTGACCCTCGTGTTTTTTCACCAGAAGGCATCCAGACTACCGTACCGGCTGAGGGAGTCTGAACGGTTTAGGGTCTAGGGCTTAGACTGCGAAAACGGGCCTCACAAAAACCCTAACTGGCCTCGAATATACCCTAAATACCCACAACATACCCACAACATACCCTAAATACCCACAACGTACCCTAAATGCCCTCGAATATACTGCAAGTGCCTACTATCCCCTTGCATGATGCCAAGATTTTTTGGGCTAAGTGCCGGCGAAATCGGGCCTGGACCACGCGTCTTGCTCTAAGTCCCGTGCATTACTCGTCGAACGCCGACCTCGAAAGACATCGCGGCACCCGGTGAGCGGTGTTGAGGGATCGGGTTTAGGGTTTTTCGGGTTTGGGGTTGAGGGGTTTAGGCATGGCTAAAGGGAAAGGGTGCTTCTGAAGGTTTAGGGCGAAGCTAGGCTGGGCTGGGCAAGGCTTGCTGATCTGAGAATTCAAGGGCTCTTGTGGCGAGCCTTCGGGCACAGGAGGGGCTCTTGAATCCATGGGTTTCGGACCTTCCCCCTCAGTGGTGACCAGGTTTAGGGTGCTTTATGGAGAGCGGCCGATTTGCAACGGCTCCGAACCTCGGCGAAAGACGGGTTGACACGGATGTTCACACTCTAGCAGGTCCCTACCCAAACAGCCCCCTTCAATGGGACTTGGACTTTTTGGGTAATTGAATACCAACAGCATGCCCTAAACCCTAAATACCCGTTAAACCCCTAAGCCCCTTCAACTCCAAAACCCTAAACCCTGAAACTTGAAACTCCGGATCCTCCGAACCCGGAACTACTCCCTACTTGAATACCAAACTCTAAACCCTCTCTCTCTCCCAGGCATTCGAAACTCTAAACCCTAAAACCCTAAACCCTGAACCCTAAACCCTAAACCCTAAACCCCAAAACCCTAAACCCTAAACCCTAAAACCCTAAACCCTAAACCTACTTCAGACCATGGGGCCGGCCGATATTTGCCGATGCCCATGCGATGAAAGGGGCACAGCTGAGAGTTCGGAAACTCTTGGAGGGCGTGTTTTTCGCCATGTTTTTCACCGAGGATGCTCTGAGAGCATGTGGAGTCGAGTCTTAGAGTCCTCGCTGGAAGCTGGAACACAGGCCATGAACCCTTGGGGGTTCTAGTGCACTTCTTCGTCCAGGATCCCTTCCTCCACGTTTCCATTTCATCGAGTGCAGCCGAAGGCTTCTGCCCCTTTTCCTAAACCCTGAACCCTAAACCCTAGTGCTCTGCTAGGAATTTTCATGGATCAAGGGCTCCAGGCCGCGGGCCCTAGGGGTCTCGGTCCTCCCCTGAGTGGGGAAGCTGTAAGGATCAGAGATCGCCGAGGGTGGCACCGACATAGGCTGATCGGTCCTGGCTGCACGGGAGATGCCGGAAACTTTGCGAAAATGATCAGCATGCATCCAAGCGATCAAGAAGACCCGGAAGCGTTCATGTCAATTGCATCCTGCATGCATCCGAATCCAGTCACCCTAGTCCAACACCCTCATCTCCACCCGACCTGCCAGAACCTTCACGACGCCAACAACTCTATGCTTGAAAACCCTAACCCGACCCTTAACCCTCTTCCAAAATGCCCCAACGGGCCTCAGTATCCTCGGCTTCGCCGCCCGGCAAGTCTGGCAGCTCTGCCTCAAACCGAAGCCGCCAGGGTCCGTGCTTTCAGATCATCTAGCGAGGTGCGGGGTTTCTCAGATGTCCCCACGATCGACTTACCTTCAACATGCGCACATGAGGGCTTCAACTGGGACGGTCAAACACAATGCAAGGATGTACCAGTGGTCCGTGATCCGGGCAGGCTTGTCCATCCGACACTCCCCCCTTGAAAGACTTTCAAAGGGAGCTGCAGCGCTGCCCGCCTGTCGAGCCGGCAACTCGGGCGCAGGCTCTGGGTAGAGAACACTTCTGCAACTGCTAACTGCTTACTCTAATTCGGCACTCATCGCAAGCAGGCAGATTCGCCTTTGCTGCAATCAGCGCCACATTTCTGCAACGATAGGGACCAGCTTGATCTGCTGCAGTTTGTGCGAATACTCTTGAAGAATGCTTCTCTTACACTCTTTTAGCTCTAATGCCAGCTACTGGCTCTTGCCGCTGCAGGAAGACTCTTTGCATCTCCGGGCTACTGCAGGGAGAAAAGGGCAAGGGGAATTGCCTGGAGTAGGCTCACTAATAGGGATATGGCGAAACTTTGATTGAATGAAATCCTGCCCCGCGCAAGGCCAGCCCCAAGTTCTCGCAGTGAAGCCCACGATGACCCTTCTCAATCTTTGTATCTTCGCATGCTTCGCCCATCACATAGATGTTCCACGGGTGGTTCTCATGTTTCAACGGATTAGAATGCTGCCAGTTGCCCTGCGCAATGCGCATCCGGACCGTTTTCTCCAACCACGAGTCCTCCCCCTGTTTGAACCAGAAGGTCATGATGCCTTCCAGGGCGAAATTCAGTTTTCCAAACATCTCGGCGTGCAAGAGGCTCAGGAAGGAGTTGTTTCTGCCCTCCATACCCGAATAGAAATCTGTGGCAACCCCAACGGATGAGGATCTACCACAAAGAACCTTTACCCTGTTGGGTCTGTCACTCTCGTCGTCGATGACACAGCGCTCTTCTATTGGCTGGCCCGGAGTGATGCTCCACCAAGTTGGGTGGAATTTGACCCCGTCCAAGGTTGCACCATGGTACCCAAGGAAGTCCAAGTGGTTGTCCCGTACGGCGACTGAGTCATTCCCCTTGTCTGGGATGCAAAGTCCGTTCGTGGTGTACTGAATTCTTCCACTGGTGGACTTGCGAGTGGATTGAACGGACAGAAGGGAGTCACAGTCATCCTCCGCAGCTTCTGGAACAGCCAGGAGAACCATCAGGGCCCATGCGTACTTTAACGCGGATGGGCAAGGCATTTTTGCCTGCAAATCGAGGTGAACCCGCTTGTAAACCTTGAGCCTACTAGCTAGTCCCAGCACATCCCAGCTCCTTGTGCACTCCATGGCCCATTGGGCTGTGCAGACCAGGGGCATTGGCTCCATGGTACTCCGTGGCCCCGACACAGCCCTGCAAATCGCTCCTGCAGGCGCGTCGCTTCACAGCTACACTGCCAATAGCATAAACTCCGTTCTTCAAGATGTGTAGCCTGAGATCGTGTCGTTATCGCTAATGAGCTTGCGATCCACGATACGGACTCGTCTTTGCTTCACTTGTGCGATCGTTGCGCGATTCATGCTACATAACACACAATCATAACAATTCATCTCTGCGTCCCTTTCCACATCTTCAAGCCAACTCTCCTCGCCACGGGCCTCTTCGTGGACCTCCGTCTTCTGCCATGAGCCATCCCATGCAAGCACCTCGCCTCACCAGGTTTAGGCAAAATCAAAATACCCGGCAACACTATTCAGGCCCTGCCGAGATAATAATCCCTCAGCTGGTAGGAGGAATCATTGCCCCGATGGGGTAACCCAACTCGGCGCCTTGGAACAGCTGCTCGCTGTCCTTGCCGAATGCCTGCTCCGCCCAAGCTTGGAGCCTGAAGCAAACTGCCTTGGATTTTTGTCTGCGCCCAGCTTTCCCTTGGCACATCTTCCCGTCACGGCACATCTAGATGTCAGCACCCCGACGTGAAAACCTATCGTCAAGTGCTTGTGGCCAGGAGGCGTGTCGCCATGTTCCTGCAAGGCAAGCCCATGAATCCTAATCACAACGGTGCCCTATGAACGAGCCTGACACTGCGTCTTACAGCGCAATTGCACTGCAGAGTGTGCCGGCAAAGCCCTTTAGCCTTTAGCACTCACACCGTCCTTTGCATACCAGGGCCTTCTCACCTCAGCTTCAAGCACTGGGCACACCAAACTCTGCAGATGCTTTCGGGGAAACCGCAGAATTAAGGGCCGAGCGTGCCAGCTTGACCTGTGCTGAAGTGCATGGGCACGTGAGCCATAGAGGTGAACTCTGCCTTTAGTTGCGACAAGTCGAGGCTGCCCGAACGACGGTGCCTGCTCAAAGCTCCCTGCCCGAAAGACTTCCGGGTTCAAGGCAACATCACCTGCCTCCCTGGCCAGTGATGAGCACCCGCTTCACCAGGGCCTGCAAACAGTTTGTGGCTGAAGCAGGCCACCAATGCTGACCGTCCGCAAACTCCGGGCCACCCACTGCTGCACACCCGCATACGTCTACGAACTCCTTGCGTGCATTATCCATGTGCTCTTCTGCATGCCAGAGCTCCACGTCGACTGCTGATGCTTGCAGCCAAAATCCCTCCCTGGCGATGCGAAGATGCCAGCGCACTCCTCACATCCCTTAGAACACCCCTCCTGGCAGATAAATCCTCCGAGTGACAACAATCAAAGTCAGGACTCGGAACAGAACCCTGACAACAAACTGATTCGAAGAACCTGTCCTCTTGGTTCTCAGCTTGCCGCTGCTCGGGCGACCTTGCGCGATGCCGACAGCCAACCCCCCCTCTGCAAACAGTGTTCCCCTGCTTCGGCAAGCTTGGAAACCTCGGACTCGCTTGAAGTCTTCTACGATTCTACGAGAGATTCGAGGCTCCGCGTCCGGGGGCTCACGGTAGGCTTTCGGGCTTTAAGCTCTCGCAACTCGGGCAATGGAGGCGAGGTCTGTGGGTTGGGGTTTAGGGTAAACCCTAAACCGTGGCTTTCCGGCTTTATGGTGCAGGAGCGGCGGCTATGAGTCTTAAATTCTTCTCGCTTTCAGAGCTCCGTCCGTGTTAGTGGAGGAGATGCTGAAGATGGGTCGCATCGGACTTTTCGGAGGTTGAGGGCCCAGGGGTTAGCGTGAAGATAAACCACCGCCAAGAAAACCCAAGCCATCGTGGAATCGTTGCTGATGCGCACCACGCAGCAAAGGAGGGGCAATCGAGGACCCATGTCGCACAAGGAGACCCTAAGCCGCTTAAGTTTAGGCCTCTGTGCAGCAACCGTGTGCCGAACATATTCTTTTTGTGCGGAAGGAGAGCGGGCAAAGCAGGGATCGTGTCTTGCCTGAAAGGCAAAGCCGAAAGGCTCTCTGCTTCGCCGCCCGGCAAGTCTGGCAGCTCTGTCTCAAACCGAAGCCGCACGGGTCCGTATTTCGGATCATTGCGCCTGCGAGGTGCGAGGTTCTTTCAGGTCAGCAGCACTACCAGCAGGTATTTGTGGAGGACCGACCATCTTGGGAAGGTCCTTCACTTCTCAGAGTCCCCACGATCGACTTACCTGAAACATGCGCACATGCTCTGGGCTGAGAACACTTCTGCAACTGCTGACTGCTCACTCTAATTCGGCACCCATCGCAAGCAGGCAGATTCGCCTTTGCTGCAATCAGCGCCACTTGCAAATCTGCAACGACAGGGACCGGCTTGATCTTCTGCAGTTTGTGCGAATACTTTTGAAGAGTGCTTCTCTTAGACACTTTTTGCTCTAGTGCCAGCCACTGGCTCTTGACGCCGCAGAAAGACTGTTTGCATCTCCGGGCTACTGCAGGGAGAAAAGGCAAGGGAAATTGTCTGGAGTAGGCTCACTTAGAGGCATCTGGATAGGGATATGGCGAAACTTTGATTGAATGATATCCCATTCCGACGGCTTGTTCTCCCGGGCGCAAGGCCAGCCCCAAGTTCTTGCAGCGAAGCTCATGATCATCGTCAATCTTTATATCTTCGCATGCTTCGCCCATCACATAGATGTTCCACGGGTGTTTTTCTGAATACCACAAAAACTTCGAGTTGCCCTGCGCAATGCGCATCCGGACCCTTTTCTCGCGCCACCAGTGCTCCCCCCCTTTGAACCTGAAGGTCATGATGCCTTCCAGGGCGAAATTCAATTTTCCATACTTATAGCCGCCATCGAGGCTCAGGAAGGAGGTGTTTCTGCCCGACATACCCGAATGGAAATCTGTGGCAACCCAAACGGATGAGTGTCTACCACAAAGAACCTTTACCCTGTTGGGTTTGTCACTCTCGTCGTCGATGACACAGCGCTCTTCCATTGGTTGGCCCGGAGTGATGCTCCACCAAATTGGATGGAACTTGACCCCGTCCAAGATTGCACCTTTGAACCCAAGGAAGTCCAAGTGGTTGTCCCGTACGGCGACGGAGACATTCTCTGACACATTCCACCTTTCCACTTTCTTGTCCTTGTCTGGGATGCAAAGTCCGTCTGTGGTGTACTGAATTCTTCCACTGGTGGACTTGCGAATGGACAGAAAGGACTCGCAGTCATCCTCCGCAGCTTCTGGAACAGCCAGGAGAACCATCAGGGCCCATGCGTACTTTGACGCGGATGGGCAAGGCATTTTGCATGCAAATCGAGGTGACCCCGCTTGTAAACCTTGAGCCTCGCTAACCCCAGCACATCCCAGCTGCTTGTGCACTCCTTGACCCATTGGGCTGTGCAGACCAGGGGCGTTGGCTCCATAGCCCCGGCACAGCCCTGCAATTCCCTCCTGCAGGCGCGTAGCTTCACAGCTACACTGCCAATAGCATAAACTCCGTTCTTCAAGATGTTTAGCATGAGATCGTGTCGGAAGCGCACATCTTACCGGATTCGTCTTTGCTTCACATCTGTGATCGTCGCACACTTCATGCTACATAACACATAGTCACATAATCATAACAATTCATCTCTGCGTTCCTTTCCACAACTTCACGTCTCCTCGCCACCTCTTCGAAGACCTCCATCTTCTACAGGGAACTCCAGAAAGTTGGAATATGGTTTAATGATAGGATACCCTATAATTTACCATAGAAGGGTTAGGATAATCATATTCCAACTTTCTGGCTTTTACCTTACCATGAGCCATCCCATGCAAGCACCTCACCAGGTTGAGGCCAAATCAAAATACCCGGCAAGACTATTCGGGCCCTGTCGAGATAATCCCAAGTTGTCAGGAGGAATCCTTATCACTGCCCCGATGGAGGAAGCCAACTCGGTCACTCTTTGACTCTGGAGGCCAGAGCTCTGCACCAGCAGCGAGCCTGAGCCTCTCCAGAGGCGACGCCCGCGGCTTTGGCCTCCCAGCTTGCGGGGCTTCCGCTCGCTACTTCGCTTCTTCTTCTGCACTTCTTGCAAATTTCTGGCCTTGCCCTGGCGCAGAGGAACGCCACCACGTCCTCTGAGGTGTGGAATGCCAAATCCCTTTCCCCTTCGATTAACAAGCACTCACACATAGCCTCCGCTTCTATCTCGAATCGAGCTTTCAGCGGCTGGCGTTCCATGTCCCCGAGCACACTTGACGTCCAACAAGGAGAGGGCAGTCGACTCCAGATTCTTCGTGTTGCAAAGCTGCCTCCATGGCAGCCCGCCCGTCCAAGTCCACCTGTTCGCGGCTACTCTGCTTTTCTCTAAAATCTACAAACCCTTCTGCAACTGGCTTGCAACGTCACGCCAGGACAGCTGTCTCGCTCCACGCTGCACTCGTGACACCATGAATAATGGAGGCTGCTGCTGCAAAGCACACTCTCTACACACACTAAACCCTAAACCGTCTTTCAGATCTGGGCATGCATGGCTCTGCAAGCCTGGAGCCGCCGCGTCAGCTCCGCCTCCCACGCTGCGTCCGCACCTCACGAACTCACTGCATATGGGAGTTTCCGAAAATTAGGGGTACCTTATTTTGGGGTTCTTATACTAAGGATCCTACTATTTAGGGTACTATATTAGGGTCCCCTATTTTTGGAAACTCCCATATACATCTCAGACTGCCCCGAAAACGGGTGCGGATGAAGCCCGCAGTCCCTTTTGGAACAACCAACTGCCCTCGAACATACCCCTACAGGGAACTCCAGAAAGTTGGAATATGGATTAATGGTAGGATCTCCTATAATTGACCTTAAAGGGGTTACGATAATGATATTCCAACTTTCTGGCTTCTACTGTAAATACCCACGATCCCTTGGACTTGTTGCTAAGTGCCGGCGAGATTGCATGGGCCTGGACCAAGCCAAGGATCTGGTGCAGCTCGCCGGCGCTGGCACCCTTCCCAGAAGTCACGACTTCACCATACTTCGCCCCTTTCGGCACCTAAGGTTATAAGTTATAAGTACATACCTCATGATTGGAGTTATCAGTACTATACAACTATAGTTACCTTCTTCCCCTCCGGCCCGTTGCGGCTGAGACGAAGGCCTGCTTGGTGGGCCTCGTGAAGCGGTCTGCTGCCTCTCGGCCTCTACCGTCGACCGATGCAAACCCTCAACCCAAACAGCAGCATCCTGGTGGTAAGCCTCATACTCTTTACTACCCTATGGAACTACCCCTGTACTGCAACTGTCCAGTCTGTAATTCATATGATGACCGCCTTTATACGACCCTCAGAGAAAGCAAAGCAGCCCCATTGCCTCCGCGCCCTGCTGCAGCTCTGGGCCTGCAACGACGTCTGTGGGGCTTAGGGTTTAGGGATTAGGGTTTGTTCTTTTGACGTGCCTTTTCCGTTCGCCAAGGTCCAGAAAGCGGTTACCCCTGGGCGTTTTGGCGACGAACCCGGCACGGCCATAGGGAGTAGGACCTTCATTGAATGGGGCTTAGGCTTTCAGGTTTTTTTTTTTTTTTTTTTGAACCCTCTTTTCTCCCTGTCCCAGAGGTTTCAGGTTTGGGGTTTAGGGTTTCGGGCTTAACGCTCACACTCGGACAATCCAAAGTTTCGGGTTTATGGTTTACCTGATAGCACCTTGTCTTCGACATTCTCAGGCCTGATAGGACCTCGTTCGTCTTCATACAATATGGGAGTTTCCGAAAATAGGGGTACCATATTTTGTAGTCCCTTTAATGAGGATCCTACTATGTAGGGTACCATATTAGGGTCCCCTATTTTCGGAAACTCCCATATTGCCGAAGGCTACAGGAAGGCCAAGCCTAAGCCTGCAACACTGTAGCTCTAGTCGCGCCGGGTTGCGGATTTCAAGGATGGGAAACTCTCACACCCGACGCAAGCCTCCCAGAAACCCAGAATTCGAAGCCTTCTTTGCAAGCCTTGGTGCGGAGGCTGAGGTGTTGCCGGCATGCTTGCGCCATGCTTCCCGAAGCCGAGTAGTGGCCGTCGAGTCCTAACTTTCCGGGTAGATGGGCTGGACGGCTACTGTCGGGGCCTTGTCACAAGGGTCCATGCTTTCAGATCGTTACACCTGCGAGGTGCGAGGGGATTTTCAGGTCAGCGGCGCTACCAGCAGGGATT